ACCTGATCTTTAAAGAAGCAAAGAATATCAAATGGAAAAAAAGAAAGCATATTTAACAGATGGTGCTGGCATAACTAGATATCAACATGTAGAAGAATGAAAATAGACCCATATCTATCTGCATGCACAAAATTCAAGACCAAATGGACCAAGGACTTCAACATAAAGCCAGCCACACTGAACCTTATAGAAGAGAAAGTGGGAAATATACTTGAACGCATTGGCACAGGGAACCACTTCCTAAATATAACCCCATCAGCACAGATATTGAGAGAAACAATTAATAAATGGGATCTCCTGAAACTGAAAAGCTTCTGTAAAGCAAAGGACACAGTCAACAAGACAAAACAACAGCCTATAGAATGGGAAAAGATCTTCACTATCCCCACATCAGACAGAGGTCTGATCTCCAAAATATACAAAGAACTCAAGAAATTGGTCACCAAAAATATCACATAATCCAATAAAAAAAATTGGAGTACAGACCTAAACAGAGAACTCAACAGAGAAAACTAAAATGACTGAAAGACACTTAAAGAAATGTTTGCCATCCTTAGTCATCAGACAAATGCAAATCAAAACAACTCCGAGATTCCATCTTATACCATGTAAAAATGGCCAAGATCAAAAATACTAATGACAACTTATGCTGGAGAGGCTGTGGGGAAAAGGGAACACTTTTGCACTGCTGGTGGGAATGCAGGCTGGTACAACCTCTTTCGATGTCAGTGCGGCAATTTCTCAGAAAATCTGGAAACAACCTTCCTAAGACCCAGTAATACCACTTTTGGGTATATACTCAAAGGATGTTCAATCGTGCCACAAGGACATGTGCTCACCTATGTTTATAGCAGTTTTGTTTGTCATAGCCAGAACCTGGAGACAACCTAAATGCCCCTCGACTGAAGAAAGGAGAAGGAAAATGTGGTACATTTACACAATGGAGTACTACACAGCAGAAAAAAATAATGACAGCTTGAATTTTGCAGGAAAGTGGATGGAACTAGAAAACATTATTTTGAGTGAGGTAACCCAGAGACAGAAAGACAATTATCACATGTACTCACTCATAGGTGGTTTTTAAACATAAAGCAAAGAAAGCCAGCCTACAAACCACAATCCCAGAGAATTTAGACTACAATGAGGACACTAAGAGAGACATACATAGATCTAATCTACATGGGAAGTAAAAAGTAGAAAAAGAGACGATCTCCTGAGTAAATTGGGAGCATGGGGACCTTGGGGGAGGGTTGAAGAGGGGAGGGGAGAGAAAGGGAGGGGAGCAGAGAAAAACGTAGAGCTCAACAAATATCAATGAAAAAAGAAGCTACTTTGGGCCTAGGGCAGGGTAGAATATAGCCAGGCTGGAAGAGATACATAGACAGAATAGGTGGAGTCAAGAAGAAGCCATGTTGCTGCCGAAGGAGATAGACATCCAAAGTTTACCCTGTAAGGCATAGTAACATGGCAATACACCGATATTAAGAGAAATGGGTTAATTTAAGATATAAGAGTTAGCCAGGAATATGCTTAAGCTATTGGCAAGCAGTGGTGTAATTAATACAGTTTCTATGTGATTATTCAGGTCTGAACAGCCAGGAAATGAACGAGCAGCCTCAACCTACAAAATGGCAGCCAGAATGGGGCAAGAATTTTCATGTGAAGTCTAAGAAAGATTTAAAAAAAAAAAAAGGTTTCTAGACTCAAAAAATAGGAGTCAAGCAAAGCTTCTTTGTAACAACATTTTTTTCAGATAGGCTCTGTTTTTTGGTGGTAAGCAGGGGCATCACAGCTCCATTAACAGAAGGCTTACTGACTTAGTATAAGAAACGATGGTTTCCTAGTTCATGCTGGCATCATGAACACTGACTATTTAGGGAGGCCAAGCACTTAAATAGGGTTTGTGAGTAGCATGCTACTAGTTGTTTATTGATGAAATAGACCCACTGCAACCCTGGAGCATGGCTCTCAGAGGTAGTGAACATGCCTCCACCCTGTTAAACTAGGCAGAGCCAAAAGACAAAGCAACCGTAGTCCTAGCCACACCCACACTTAGTATATAAAAAAAGGTGCTCCTGGTCAAAAAATAATTACAGATATGCACAAAATAAGGACAAATGTAGATGAAAAGACCTCTAAATGGGTCACATTGTTAGCTAAATGTATGTAGGCTTAGCAGATAGAAGAAAACCAATAGTTATAAAAGGAAGTGGTTTAAAAAAACAGTCTTTAAAGAGACAGAGTACAGACAATCACAGATTAAAGTAAAGGAAAAAAGCCACAAAAAGATAGAAAATATACAGAGAATCTGGATTATGTATATTATTATCTTTTCTTTGAATTTTTTGACTGTGAAGGAGCTGAGTACAGAGAGACATTTCATTGTACAGACTGCTAAGCTAAACCAACAGTTATTTTAATGGTATCTTGACTTCAAAATTTGAGTCTAAGGATATGTTGCTTTGGAAAAGATTTCTGTTTTTGTTTCCACAGAGGATGAGAACCTGTGGATTCCTTCCAGACTAAATGGTTTGATGGAACAAGACCCCCTGAAAGGTCTCCATGAACCCCAAAATTATTTCACCCAACAAAAATCAGGAAGCAGTTTGGAGAGAACTACATCCAAATTCCAAAATACTGTTTATAAATGTTTGTTTTCATTTTAAGGGTATATAATTTAGAGATGAATACTTTGCCTTGTTATGTATCTTGGTTTATTGATACAAATTTTAGGTCAATTTTGTTATATTTCTGCTCTTGATTAAGGTATTATGTTTGTACAGCTCATTTAAAAATGAGATATATAATTAAGAAATGAGCTAATACACATCTATAATAATTAAGCTTGTAGTCATGTTAGGTTTTCTGGATGTATAGAGATATATTTCAGATGAATAAGTATTTCTCAAACCTTTCAAAAATTAACAGAATATGGGATTTAAAATGTTTAAGAAATTAGGACTTTTCATGACAATGAGACACATCTGTTACAGGCAGCACCAATCTACTTCAAGAGGGTAATGGGCATTCAAAAGGCTCCTTATGGAATTTGCTAGCCATTTGGGAAAGAAACAGTTCTTGCCTGGACTGTTTGATGGTAAGCTATTTAAACTGGGCATGCAGGACCCACAGAAAAATGACTGCTGAAGGTACCTAGAGAAGATGAGACAGTCCTTCAGGTTTCCTCCTTCATGAAAGAGCCTGCCAGACATTCTGCAGGACACAGATGAAAGTGATTGATAAACTGCCAATATAGGCAGAACTGTCTTTAAAATTTCCTGCTTTATAGAAACATCTGCACAATTCTATGGGCCTGTAGGCTGAAGATGAATGTCCCAATGGTACAGAAACTTGTCCAGGCAGCAAGATGTCTATGTCAATTCTAGAATTTTGGAAGTTGCTTACAATACACTTCCTGTTAACTTAGGTAATATTATATCCTTCTGGGGTCTTTGATAGAGTTGAAGAATAGAGTTATAATTATAGTTTTCCTTAGTCATGATAAAAGATAACGCAGATATAAATATTGTAACTATAATTTTTGGTTGGTACCTATTTTGTTTTATGTAATTTTACTATGTTAAAGTTAAAACTTTCCTTTTTATTTAGACAGAAAAGGGGAGATGATGTGGCATTTCCCCCAGCATGCAGTGAATACCACTGATTAAAAAAAAGAAGCTGCTTTGGGCCTAGGACAGGGCAGAATATAGCCAGGCTGGAAGATAGAGAGAGAGAGAGAGAGAGAGAGAGAGAGAGAGAGAGAGAGAGAGA